TCTTTGCGTCATTATTTTGTTGTTACACCATCTGGAGTCAGGGACCACAACTGTCCCATTGCACCACTGCACAGGTTAAGTGCCTCCATCTGTAAAGTACATTTTGCATCTTCCTTATTGAAAATTGGATAAGGTATTTTAGATTTTATAATTTTAGCATTTGAATATACATAATGGAGTATCTTGGGGGATAGGATCTAAATCTAAGTGCAATATATTTTATATTTAACATATACCTTAATATATTGCATGATAATAATTTTATAAATACATAAAACAAAGTTTCAAATGTGGGATTTTCCCACTGTGTCACTATGACGGTGCTCAAAGTTGTCCCGATTTGGAGCATTTTAGATCTCAGGTCCCCAGAGTAGGAAGACAACTGTACTGGAGACAAAGGGTGTGAGAAACCTGTCAGGAGTCCTAGGCATGGCCTGTCAGACTAATTTATAGAGCTGTTGCTTCATAACAAAAACCTTGCCTCAAAAAAACCAAAAAAAAAAAGGAAAGAAAAAAAGAGTTACAATCATTTTTAATCACCCTTGTATTACTGATGATGATGAAATGGGATTAAGTAATATTCTCATACCTGTATATAGATACGATTTTTAACTAAAGCATGTAACAATAGAGGCTTATCCCTTCTAAATGTTCATAAATATCCAAGAATGGCAACGGTCAGCCAACTTTTAGGAATAAGTCAAAATAAAATCTTACAGTGAGGCCATCAGAAATAAAATCTGACAGTCCATTGCTGCTTATGTCGACTATGTCTTTAGTGACGTCACTTCTGGGTGAGTCATGGATAATACCCTTTATGACATGGACAATGATCTGATAGCACCGTTCCTCAGTGGAGTTCAGACACAGCAGAAAAGAATTTCATACTGGCTTATGAAGTTATTATAAAGAAAGTTGAATGATTAAAATCAGGCCCAAACAAACATGTTCAAGTCCCTATTGATGAGCAGAAACTGCTACAGCTAAAAACAGACTATCAAGAGAACTGTCGCAGAAGTTCATGGAAACCAAGGCAAACAAATTCCAAAGGCAGGCCATGTCTGAATGCTCTCTTACTTTCTCCACTGGATTTACACACTTACTTTTCGTTCATGAAATATTATTTTGGTTTTTTTTTTATAGCAACAAAGAAAGAGAGAGAGAGAGAGAGAGAGAGAGAGAGAGAGAGAGAGAAGAAGGAGGAGGAGGAGGAGGAGGAGGAGGAGGAGGAGGAGGAGGAGGAGGAGGAGGGAGGGAGGGAAAGAGGGAGGGAGGAAGAGGAAAAGGGAAGGAAGAAAATATGTTGCTCAAATGTTAAAGAGAAACATTTGGCAGAGAGACAATTAGAAATACATTCATGGTCTGAGTTCTAACTTAGTCAATGAATCAGTGAACAAGTAAGCATTTGTTAAGTCATACAATTTGAAGCATATTGTGGCTGTGGACGCCTTTCAGCACTGCCTTCTTGGCTTTCAAGGCCTTCGCTTTAGCTTCGGCTTTGGGAGGGGCAGGAGCTTCCTTCTTCGAGTGCTGAAAGGCGTCCAGAGCCATAAAAAGAAGATCCGAAGCCAGGTGATGGTGGCGCACGCCTTTAATCCCAGCACTTGGGAGGCAGAGGCAGGCGGCTCTCTGTGAGTTCGAGACCAGCCTGATCTACAGAGCTAGTTCCAGGACAGGCTCCAAAGCCACAGAGAAACCCTGTCTCGAAAAACCAAAAAAAAAAAAAAAAAAAAAAAGAAGATCCGCACATCACCCACCTTTCGGTGGCCCAAGACCCCGCGGCTACTAAGGCAGCCTAAATACCCCCGGAAGAGCGCGCCCAGGAGGAACAAGCTTGACCACTACCCATCATCAAATTCCCCCCGACCACCAAGTCAGCCATGAAGAAGATAGAAGACAACACACTTGTGTTCATTGTGGACATCAAGGCCAACAAGCACCAGATCAAACAGGCTGTGAAGAAACATTGATGTGGCCAAAGTCAACACCCTCATAAGGCCCGATGGAGAGAAGGACTATGTTCGGTTGGCTCCTGATTATGATGCTCTGGATGTTGCCAACAAAATTGGAATCATCTAAACTGAGCCCAGCCGGCTAATTCTAAATATACACTTTTTCACCATAAAAAAAAAAACAATTTGAAGCATATTATAAATTGCTGCTTGGATTTTATAATCTTCAATATGTATTTATTTTACCAATTTTTAAGATGTTAAAAATAATGAAAAAAATTTTCATCATGGTTTATATTGCTTAAATTAATTTTTAAAATACCACGATTAGAAATTATTACAAAGGTAAAAACCCTTTATTGAAGTAAATACAACATATTTTGGGTATCTTTGATAATATGTACTGACTGCATTTTTAAATATAAAGCAAGTTGATTCCACTGTAATACTACTTCTCCTGGAGAAATAGCTCTACACAAAGAATGATTTATTCTCTTAATACAATGCCGTATATTGCTCTATTGAAATGAAAAGAAAAAGGAGTACATCTAAGTTTAAGAAGGAACCAAAACCATCTGCTGTGGATACGAAATTCTTCTAGTTCTCATGATAAGCATGGGAAATAAGAGATATATTAGAAGAATTCAATGGCTGTGATCACAGAAAAGTAATACACTGTTTCTGTATTATAGCTAGTGAAAATCATGTCAAAGACTAAGCATTAGAAATATATTTATGAGAATAAAAACAGAAGGTTACTGAATGCCAAGAATGACAAAATTGGGGCTTTTATGTTAATGATTATTATACATAGCTAATCAATTACCAATCTTTGTAGCAGATCCTGGATTTCTTCTTAGCACATAGCCCAGAGAGCCAATATGAATCACTGAAGTTTGGATTTAACTCTGAGACCTATTTATTACTCCGGCTCTCAGTGACATTGTTCAAGATGCTCGAGAGTGAAATCTTATCAGCTAGCGAACACAGACCACTGCTATGACTAGTCATGCAGAGAATGGCTTTCAAAAACATGCAAAAATATGAAGCATATTAAAAGGGAAAAGGAAAAATATTACATCATATAATGATATGATTTAGACAGATGAACAAAATTAAATGCCATTGCCATCTGCAGTCTAGGATGGTTTTGATATGATTATTAACAAGCCATCCTCTTTCAGGGTAAGTCATCATTGCAAATAATATGAAATTAAAGCAATGGTTCCCTTAAATGCAGCATACCAAAAATTAAAGATCATTATAGGGCAAAGAGATTATAAGTTTATGGCCTGCTTGAATAACATGGTTCATTCAAGGCTACCCTGGAAAACATACCCTGTTTCAAAATAAACAGTAGAAAGTGGTTTGGGATTTAACTCAGGGAAAGAGCACTTGTCTAGCACATGGGAGGCCTAGGTTTAACCCCCAGGATTTGTGGTGGGAGAAGGAGGATACAGCATATTATAGATGGTTCACAAATTATTAAAATAATATAATAATGTATATTACTTAAGTCTTACTGCCATATATGCCTAACAGAGAAAACCCTAAGAGCAGCTACTGAAGAGAATGTGAAGAAATGTTTGATACATAAAATACCTAAAAATCTCAGAAAAAAATTGCAAATTTTCTCAAACTACAAGAGCAAGACTTTTTATGATTTTAGACTTAGAGCTTGATTTATCTCTAGCTTGTCAAAACTTAAATGTTTGTTAGGGCTTATAAATTTCTACAGTGTGAGTTGGTACATATTTACACAAAGTTAGGCAGAAGTATAGAGGTATGGCTTAGTCATAGTCATCTTAGTTACTAAAAAAATATTATCCACCCTGACATTTTTAAAGAGTAAATGCAATTGTTGAACAATATTAAAACAGTGCTGTAGAGGTGAGTTTGGTGTAATTCCGTATTTTACAACCTCCCCACAATGTGGAATCAACACTTGTAACACAGCACCAAGTAAAAGGCCGTGTAATGAGAGATTTCAGTCATAAGTGCAGCACAATAAAGAAACCAACAAGTAATGGCTGCTGCACCTAGGTGTGACAGCAGACCCCTCAGCTTACACAGTATGGCGCACTGCTTCCTGCAGCTAAAACCTGCACGCACCAGCTCTCGACATCATTTTCCTCCTTCCCGCTTAACCACATCTGAGATGTGACACAGATTCTTCAACAGCTCTCAAGGTGCGCTACGTTCCATATTAAAGGTCACGCTCGGCTACAAACAGTTGAAACCAAAATCTAGGGGCAGCAGAGGTGGCTCAGGGGTCAAGAGCTTTACTGCTTTTATAGAGTTCCCAGCACATACGGTGGCTCGAAAACACTTGTAATTCAGCCCCAGGGGACTGGACACCCTCTTCTTATATGTAAAATAAAATTTAAAAAAACTTTAAAAAATAAAATAAAACCATAATCAGTAAAGTGGGAGGACCAAGCCACTACACAAGATTCAGAGATAAGTTTTCTAAAATTTCCTTTGAAATAATCATAAATATTTTACCCTTGGCCAACTTTACAGTTAAGAATTATTGTTATAGCCTGATGTGGTGGCTCACCCCTTTAATTCCAGCACTCAGGAGGCAGAAGCAGGTGATTTTCTACGAGTTTGAGGCTAACCTGGTCTACATAGCAAGGTCCTGGACAGCTGGGGTTACAGAGACCCTGTCTCAAACAAATAAGAACAAGAAAACAGCAATAGGAAGGAAAGAATTATTCTTACAGAATTATGCTATTCCATGATTTTAGAAAATGACAGCAACACATGAAACCACTTTCTGACTTCAGTGTAGGCCATGTCAGGCTATTTACAATTACAATAAAGCAAATGCTAACTACGAAGTTAAACCACTTTCTAATTAAGTACTTACCTCTAGTAAGGGATGAATCAAGTGTTTCTGGAAAACTGTCAAAGAAGGTTTTCACACAAAATGTAAAAAGCAACACATAGACTTTATGAAAGGAATCGACTGTAATATGACAGAAAATGTGTTAGTTTTGCAGGGTTGTGGTAACAACAGTGAAACTTTCTCTAACAACTCCTTACCTGTGTATACAGTTTTTGCTCTCCAGATACAACATGCCAGCAGCGACATCCAAGGAAAACCTCACGAGCTGCTTGAGCTTCAGTTCATCCTTCCTCTTCCTCAGAAAGGACAGGAAATCACCTCCTGGAAAAATTGATGAAGAGAGACGAGATGAATTGTGACAAGAGTCATATGCGACATTTATTAGGAGGCTTGACAGCATGAGAAGCTTTTGTCCCAGTTTCTTATGTGAGGACAAAAGAAACGTGGAAACATCACATCCTGGGAAGCAGGCGCCATCACTCCTCTAGACACATCAAGTACCTTAAGTGTCTCAGCCAGGAACCACCAAACACATAAACGCAGTCAAAGACAAACTTATCCCTTTGCCACTGTGTGCACTGATTTACTTTATTGACATTTTAAAAGAAATTTTATCTGATACAATAAGCAAAAAGCCTAAACAAAAACTCAAATGATATTAATTTCTAGATTCAGGGACCTCTAAAAACTAAAACTTTAAAACTAAGCCATGTTGTGAAACATTGCTTTACACTGTGTGAGTATATGCCTCAGTGATTGGTTTAATAAAGAAGCAGACTGGCCAATAGCTGGACAGGATAAGGTTAGGTGTGAGAATGCTGGGAGGAAGAAGGGCAGGCAGATGCAGAGAGAGAGAGAGAGAGAGAGAGAGAGAGAGAGAGAGAGAGAGAAAGAAAGAGAGAGAGAGAAGCAAGATGGGCATGCTGTAATGAGAAAAGGTACCAAGACACAGGGCAAGCATAGATAAGAAATATGGGTTAATTTAAATGTAAGAGTTAGCTAGTATCAAGCCTGAGCATCTATAATTAATATTAAGGCTCCGAGTAGTTACTGGGGAGCAGCTTGGGGGACAGAAACTTCCGCCAACAAATGGCATTCCGACATGGGGCAGGAATTTCCACCTAAGACCTGACAAAGCTTCAAATAGGAATCTAAAAACACAAAAATGGAGTCAAACTCAGTTTCTTGGTGTTACCAAGGTAGGCGCTGTTTGCTAGCAGCATGCAGAGGTGCAGCTCTTTTAAAAGAGAGCTTCTTGGCTCACTGCTAGCCGCAAAAAACAGGTGGCTAAGAAGAATTTATTTTCTATGAAAGTACACTAGAGGAGCCTGAGAGATGTTTTTTTTTCAAAAGTCAAAATAATAAATCAGGTTCTTAGTAACAGGAGACCAATTCTACTTTATCACCTCCTTAGAGTGTTCACTCAGCTCCCTGTTGGTGGGAACAGAAATAATGAAATGAAACAGGCTCATTGATGGACTGATTGTATGCAAAGACTCTAAAACAATCATGAAAAGCCTTTTTCTTCCAAATAGTAAGCAACTTAACACGATGAAGAAACTGTCCTGTGAATCAATTGAAAATTGTTCTCAAATAGATTTCAAAAACAGACAGTCCAAATACAGAAGTAAAAACAAAATGAATTCAAAAGCCATATCAGGGAAATAAAAGTAATAATAATAAAAAATAAATAATTAAAAAAAAAAAAACAGGTGGCTATTTTAAGAAGACCTGCTACCAAATGCTTAAATAATGTTTATGAGCAGTGGGAGAAACACTACTTGGTGGCTACAAGGGACCCAACATTTCCCAAGAGTTGGGGTAGTAAATGTGGCTCTTTTTGGTACCTGTGTAATGAAGCTCAGCTCTCAGAGAACCAAGCAGGTCAGAGCCAGCAACCAAAACAGAGGTCCTAGCCATGCCTCTTACCAGTATAAAGGCTCATAGGTTCAGAAAAAGATTACAGATAAGTAGTAAAGTCAGATTCAGAACAACAACAAAAAGAAATCTCTAAATGGGCCAAGGTGTGTTTAAAAATAAATAAAGATCTGGTAGGTTTGGGAGAAAGAAGAGAAAGAGTATATACAGTCTTAGGTTAAAAAATATAGTTTTAAAATAATAAAATCCTTGCAAAAGTAACAGAATAAAAAAAAGAAGCCACATAAAGACAGAAAATACAGAGTCTGGATTCTGTATGCTATTGTGCTGTCTTTACATTTTCTGATTGCTAATGAAGGAATGACAGCTGCTAAGACACACCGAACTATGAAAACTGCTGGATTAAAATACGTCTTGACTTCAAAATGTAAGTCAAAAGATATGTTACTTTGGAGAAGAAGTTATGCTTTTATTTCCACAGGAAATGAGATTTGTGGATTTTGTAGATTTATTCAAAGTTAAAGATGATCAGGTTTGATCAAGGAAGAAGACCCCCTGAAATACTGGCTACAGCCATAAAGAAATAAACCTAGAAAAACTACAAAACAAGTAATACATATTTTACCTGCCGAAATATAAAACAAAAAAGCATTTTTGGCTGACTTGTGTATAACACACCGTCTATACTTATTTTAATACTGATATGGATGTCACCTTTATGTATTTTTGATGGAGGAAGGTCATTGGTTAAGTAATAAAGAAACTGCTTGGCCTCATAGGTTAAAACATAGGTGGGAGGAGTAAACAGAACAGAATGCTGGGAGGAAGAGGAAGTGAGCTCAGAGGTCATGCTCCCCTCTCCCAGGCAGATGCCCTGAAGCAAGCTGCCAGGTCAGACATGCTGAATCTTTCCCAGTAAGACTGATGCTACACAGATTATTAGAGATGGGTTGATCGGGATATGAGAATTAGCCTGTAAGGGCTAGAGTTGGTGGGCCAGGCAGTGTTTAAAAGAATACAGTTTCTGTGTAATTATTTTGGGGCATAAGCTAGCCATGTGGGCGGCCGGGTGCCAGGGAAAGCAGCCCGCCGCTCTTAACACAACAGAGGATGGGGGCCAGTTGAAGGCGTAAGTCACAAACAATGCCACACCAGTTTGGAATTATGATTAATAGGCTGGTATTTATTTAAAGGGGAAAAAACTTACAGATCATCGTCCCATACAACAGCCCTCTGCACAACCAGGAAGGGAGTCTAGTCGCCGGTGGAGCAGGAAGTGAAGAGAGAGAGGAGAGGGAAGTGGCCGCTATTTTAAAGGGAGAGAGACCACAACCCAATGGGCTGGTATCTCAGCGGCTATAGGCTGGAGTGGAAGGACCTCCCGCAACATATTTTAAGGTTAAGTATTTTAAGAACAAGGGTACAAGACACCAATAGTAATGGATCATCTAGGTGATCCAGTAGCACCAACGTGAGGCAACTACGTCCACAAAAAAACTAAGAAAACTTAAAAAGAAATTCTAAATACAAAAGAACAAAGTTAAGCACAGCTTCTTAGTTCCTTCCTTTTTTCAGATAGGCTCTGTTTGCTGGCAGGAGCACCTTTACAAAAAGACTTACTGACTCAGCATAAGAAACAGCAGCTTCCTGGTTTGGGCAGCATAAACTTTGGCTCTTGTAGGAGGTCAAGCACTTGAAAGGGATTTGTGGGCAGCATGCTTCAAATTACTTGGTGGAAGCATGGTCAACTGGTTACCAGAGGTGAGGTGGTGAGGACAGCTCCCACCCAGAAGTCTCAGAGGCAGTGAATGGACCTCCAACATGTTGTACTGGGCAGACTTGAAAGGCAAAGAAAGCAGCCTTAGTCCTAGCCATGCCATTTAGCATTTTAAGAAGCAGTCCTGGCCAGAATAGGATTACAGATATTCAGTAAAGACAGATCCAGATGGAATCGACCTCTAAATGGGTCACAGTGTTAGATAAATGCACACTGGCTTGACAGAAGAAAGAGTACTGGCAGTAATGATATACAGATAGTCATAGGTTAAAGGGGTAAAGATAATAAAATAAATATTAAATTTGTAGGAAAAGTAATAGAGTAAAAAATAAGCCACTTAAAGATAGAATATACACAGAGAATCTGGATTATGTATATTATTGTGTTTTCTTTGAATTTTCTTGACTGTGAATGAGCTAAGAACAAAGAGACATTTCATTGTATGGGCTGCTAAACTGAAACAACATATATATTTTAAAGGTATCTTGACTTAAAAATTTTGGTCTAAGGATATGCTGCATTGGAAAAGAGGTTCTGCTTTTGTTTCCACAGAGGATAAGAACCTGCAAATTTCTTCCAGGCTAATGTGCTTTGATGAACCAAGACCTCCTCTAAGGTCTCCTTGAACCCCCAAAATTACTTTGCCTAACAAATGGCATGAAACAGTTTGGAGAAAACTATGCCTAAGTTCCCAAAATGATTGTTTATAAATGTTTATTTACATTTAAAAAGGGATATGCTATAGAGATAAATATTTTGAATTGGTATGGATCTTGGTATACTGATACAAATTTAAGATCAATTTTGTTATATGTATATTTCTGCTCTTGATTACGGTATTGTGTTTGTGCAGCTTATTTAAAATTGAAATGTATAATTAGGAAATACAGGTTAATAGTCATCTATACTAGTCAAGCTTATAGTCATGTTAGCTAAGTTTTCTAGATGCACAGAGATATGTTTCAGATGGATAGTTATTCTTCAAATCTTTCAAAGAGCAACAGAATATGGCATTTAAAATGTATTAAGAACTCAGGACTTTTCATGACAATGAGACACATCTGCTCATGGCAGCACCAATCTACTTCAAGAAGATCATGGATATAGAAGAGGCTCCTTATAAAGTTTGTTAGCCATTTGGGCAAGAAACTCCTCTTGCCTGAACTGCTTGGTGTTATTCTATATGAACTGGACATGCAGGACCCACAGAAAAATGACTGCTAACTTGATTAAAAGCAAGACCATCCTTCTGGGTTCCTGCTTCATGAAAAGAGTCTGCTAGACATTCTGCAGGACACAGAAGAAAGCAACTGATGGATTTTGCCTGTATAGGGCAGAACAGATCTTCAAATTTCCTGTTTCAAGGAAAAGTCTACTGGATACTGTGGGCCTATAGGCTGAAGATTAGATACTCCAATGCTGCACTGGAACTTTGGGTGACTGTCCAGGAAGCAAAATGTCTGCCAATTCTAGAGTTTTAAGGAAGTTGCTTACAATTGCACTTTCTATTAACTTAGGTAATAGTATATCTTTTTGGGATCTTTGATGAAGTTAAAGAACAGAGAGTTATTGTTACTCATTTCCTTAGTTATGATGAAATATAGATTAGATATAAAACTTTAGACTCACACAGACAGAATAAATGATAAAGTATTTTCCTTAATTT